AATAAATAAATATTTATAAATATATGTATATATTGGTCAAAAAATCTGATTTTTGAAATGTAAAAATTGTTTTGTTATTTTTAAAATAGGGTAAAGATAAAGTAGGGAAAGTGAATTTTTCCCTTGATTTTACTCTCAATAATAACAATAGAAAACAAATCCAGTTGAAATAATAATAGGAAGTCCAACAATATGAGCCTAGCAAAACTGGTTACGAAAGTTTTTAAAGCCCAACAAGTCAGACCCAATATACCTGCCGAATCTCCAGAACTTTCCAAAGCCAGTACCTATCCAAACCTAACTGCCACAGACGCCTCCAACCACCCAAAATAAGCGACGACAGGAGAACCTAGAGTAATCCAAGGAAAAGCCGACAACAACGTAGATGTCGACTGCTATAGACGAAGATAGAGCAGTCCAAGGGAGGTTTCGAGACTACCACTGTTGATAGAAATAAAAGATCGTACCGAGATCACCACGGAAGTCTCTGGCCACCAACAACCCAAAAAGAAGATTCAATCCCACGAGAAAGTACCGATTTTTTTCTGTCTTACAATTTTCAATTTCTCACTCGTCATATTCGACTTGCTCTGTTTATGCAGACCATGTGTATGCTTATTGAGGGATAGGTGTATATATACCGCACCATTTAATCACCTCTGAGCATCCATCATACACCTTTGCCTCTCACATCCAAAACTGTAAAAGAAATAACCCACATATCACTGCCTCAGATTTGATTTCTACCTCGGTTGCTTTGGCTGTTCCATCTCTGCCCATTGTTGAGACAGCCCCCAATGATGCAATTACGGAGGAAGAGAGAGAAATCACGTTGAGGATGAATTGAGTTCTAATCCATATGATGTTGGAGCACTAAGAATTTAATGAAAATTAAAATAATGAGGAAGAAGACTGGACGCAAAATAAAACTCCTCCCAACCATGAGAAAATCCAACCAAGAAAACAAGAGAAGAATTCTAAGAAAAAGGCTCCCATACCATGTCAAATATACTCAATAAAAGATTCGATGTCCCTCTACGTGAGAGGTTCTCTAATTATATAGAACCAAAATCATAACNTAGAACCAAAATCATAACTAAATATGGTTAAGCAATCTGTCTTACAATTGTAATAATATAATAGTAATTTTCGACGATCTTCGTAATCTTTAATCTCATTGACACGTAATCTACTGGCTCACTTATTGAAGGTCAAATATTTCATCATCATTTTCTCTGCCTTTCTTATTTGTTTTTTAGTTATGGGCAGTTTGTCTTGGATTCCATACCCTCAAATAGCTGCCATGTTTATCAGGAGAAGAGGATTTTTTTTTCCCAGTGGTGGTGGCCTTTGAAGATGATGATAGTTGACATTGTACCATATTACCAATATTACTTATCTTGACTGGAAAAAATTGAATATAAGTTTAGTTGTTCAAATGTCACCTATTCCATTTATGACAAAGCAGAAACGGGTAGCATATTACCAAAAAGAAAGAAAATGATCATTTGATATGTGGCTGCTTGTCGTTATTTTTTATATTTTCTTAATTTTGAAATATAAATAAGCGATCTCGTTGGTCCAACAATACTTAGTGAGAGCTTTCATTATCTTTAAGGTTGATGTCTAGGATTTAGTCCCATATCAGTAACTTTGTTTGCATTAATGAAGGGTGCTGCTGTGATTGAGAAGTGGATTATAGACAAGTTTTTCAAGTTCGGCTTCTTTTGAGAGTTGGTTTGTACCATTATCACTTTAAATCCATTTAACCGACTCGGATTTCCTTTGAAATCAGATATTCATAAGATGTCGGACGAAGTTTTCAGTAAGGAAAATCCCGACTATGCAGAGAATCTTGGTAATTTGCGCTCAAAGTTTGGTGTAAAACAATGATGGGAGGTGTGCTTTGGAGGACTGATTTCATTCCCAAGGTTTGCCAGTTTTGGTCAATTTCTTTGAGGAGAACCTCTTGCGTTGGAGCTGGAAAACAAGTTATCGTCGCTTTGGAGCACTTAAGTACCTTGTTGCTTGCAGATGTATGATAAAACCACTTTATTTGAACTACTTTCTTTGCTTGCAGAATTGATTAGAAATCACGAGGCTGGTACATTTTGATGCATCCTAG